TTCAGGGGACAACTCACATACAATTTTCATTCATATATCTTACATACAAAGCTCATTTAGGATTTTTCTTTTGGACACACACATTTTTATTATTTTCTATCCTTCGAGGTTGTATGTATATATACAATGTATTTTGATGGTATACATTATTCAGTCCTCCCCCAGCTCCTCCCAGGGCCATTTCTACCCTTCCTCCCAGCTTCATGTCTGCTCTCCCTCCTCCCTTCCCCCTTCCTCCCCCTCCCTCCCTCCCACCCTTCCACCCCTTCTTCCTCTTTTCCTCCCTCTTCTCTTCTGCTTCCCTCTCCCGAGCCACATGACATTCCACTGAAAGAACACAGTCTCAGACTCTCATGAATGGTGTCTTGTCATCACATGACTTCAAGGGAGCTTTTCCCCTGTGTGATGCCAAGAACTTACTTCATTTTCACTGTTCTGGAATGGGGTCCTGCGGACTAGTAGTAGCTGAGATTCCTCCCTGAGCCCAGCTTCTACCGGCAGGCAAGCCGAAGATGTTCATCCTCTCCAGTGACCCTGGATTCTTCCTGGACTAGCACTTGCTTTGTAACTGAGGTTGACATGGAACTCTGGATCGTCCTACCTCTATCTCGCAGTTCTGGGGAGCAAACTCGGGGCTCCATACATCTAGGCAAGTACTGTACCAGCTGAACTCCATCCCAAGCTTCGTGCCTCCTACCCTGGGACTTGTGATGGCGTCTTCCTTACGCCATGTCTGGGTAGCCCTCCCTGCTGTGTCTTTCCAACTTGCCTGTCACCTGAGTACCAGCTTCTTTTTTAAGATTTATTATTATTATTATTTTATAAGAGTACCCAACTTCTTATATTAAAATCTCTCTGCCCCCCTGAAACACTGAAGGGATTTTGTTTCCCTTAGCAGAACTTTTAAAAAGGTTGGGTGCTGGCCGAGTCTCAAGCTGAAGGTTATTGCACCAAGCCAGAGAAATGGGAATTCCGCCAGCAGATGGGTGAGACCGGAGAGAACACTGGCTCCCTGGCAACCCCGAGTACGCGGAATACAGTGTGGTGACAGTAGCACATAAGGGGCCGTAACTCCCACTGGAAAAATGCAGCTGACATGCGCCCTAGGCATATGGTGACCGGGAGAGGGGGTCGATACTTCCCTTTCCTGGCTGCTGATTTGAAGGCTCAGGGAGATGTGGCCAGTGCACGTTAACTTCTCATCTGTGTTAGCTACTCTCATGCTGCTGTGGTAAGACACCATGACCAAGGCACCTTATAGAAGAAAGTCTATTTCGGTGTGTGGTTCCAGGAAGCGTGGCAGCAAGCCACAGATATGGCAACAGGAAACAGAAAGCTCACATCCTCGACCACGAGCTTGAAGCAGAGACAGAAGACTGGGGAGCGGAGACCTTTGAGCCTCAAAGCCTGCCCCTAGCGATACACTTCTTCCAGCAAGGCCACACCTCCCGGGCCTCCCCCCAAACAGTGCCAGCAGCTGATGTCCAGGGATTCAATGCCTAAGACTGTGGCCGACATCTCATTAAACCACACCCTCATGCCTGCTCGGTGTTCAGACATCTTTTGAGCACAGGTCACTGGTTCATCTCAGCCTGGCAGAAGATTCTGCCTCCTCGCCCAGACGTGATGAGCCGGGAAGTGGATGCAGCAAGCAGATGAGATTTGGAAGGCCTCCTCCCGGTGGTATGCTGAAGGAGGCCGTGCTGCCAAGAGTCTCAGTGGGATTTAAAGACTGGAGGTGTCTGGGAAGGTGTGGAAAAGCGGAAAAAGACAGCCAAAAAGAGTAAACATTTGTGACATCTGTGACGTACATGGGTTTTTGTTTTGGTTTTCGGCTAGGAAAACCTTGATCTTCCTTTGTGAGTTCAACTTTCTCTTACTCTCAGCCCTCATGGCTTGGGTAAGGTTAACACATCCTTGTTCAGGGCGGAAGGCGTGGCCTCATCCGTCAGTGGGTGGTCAAGGTAGATGCCACGCAAGAGGAAAGTCCCCTCCTGCATGTGCCGATGTTGAGGATGGAAGTGTGGAGTCCATCTTGCCGTCGGGAAATGAGTGCAGCCAGACTGCAGCCGAGGGAGCAGAGGAGAGAGAGCAGCAATGCCCAGTGACACTGTGGAAATGCCGGGTCAGCTAGGCTCCAGCCCAGGACTGTCCTCTCGGGCCTCCCTCCCAGGAAATCCCTTTCTCTAAGCCTATCTGAGAGGCGTTTTCTCTTTTTCCTTTTTTCTCTCCCACACACTGAAAAATTCCTGTGGGAAGCATCTCTGTGTTCATGTAGAGTTGTTCGTATATTATCAGTTTCTCCCTCCCTTCCTTTTCTCCTCTATGAAAAAATTGCAAACGCTGTTCAGTATGTCTGTGTCTTCCCACACTGAAAAGCACTTAAATTTGTCAAACAGGGAACTTAAAATACCAGTTATACAAATGAAAGTCCTCTGTCATTGTTGTACGCAGACTAGGGATGGCAGGATTTGGTTTCAAAACTCTAAAGCCAATGTGCTTTCTTAATATTCATAGTACAGGGTGGTAGATTATCACTACTTCAAATCAAACTGGTTCTTAGGTGCTACCCATACACTGTCTACTGAGGAACGTAGGAGTGATAATTAAAAGTTTTTTCTTTTAAATCAAAACCAAAAAGGGCTGGGAATGTTGCTCAGTTGATAGAATCTTTGGCTAGCATGCACAAGGCTCAAGGTTAAATACCCAACACTGAAAAAAAACTGGGTACAGTGGAGCATGCCCGTGTATGCAGAAAGATCAAAGTTCAAAGTTCAAAGTTCAAGGTTATCTTCTGCTACATAGTGAGTTCAGGACCTAACTGGGCTACAGACTTGGAATGGAATAGAGTAGAATATAATAGAAAATAAAATACCTTACATGGCTGTTTAAAACTCACAAATGTTTGTTAATATTTGACATTTATTAACATTTGTGAAGTTTACTACTTAGAATGTGTTGGCAAATGTATGATTGTCACATAGATTGGACTGAGAAGCACCTAGGACATTAGCAAAGCTCATCTATATGGCTGAGGAAGTTTAAGACAGAACAAACCAAGAGGAGCTTGGGAGGACTAGGAGGGAGAGGGAAGAGTAGACTGGGCTCTCCCCCTGGGCCTCCTGGCTGCCATACATGAGCTCATGCCCGCCCGTCCTGAGACACAGAAACCTCTGACCCTGTGAGTGAGCAACACTTTCTTTCTTAAGTTGCTTTCCTGGGGGTTTTGTCGGTGTAATGACAGATACACAAAGCTGTGTTTCTCGCCTCCATGGCAGGCAGGTTTCCTTTAATAGATTCTGTAATCTCACAGGACAATGACCATCGAGTGCCTACTCCTGCACACGCCCTCCTTGAGGCATGGGCAGTGGTGTGGGCTTCAGCACAGCCTTCCTGTTTGTCTGGGGCCTCAATCTGGCCTCCTTGTGATGCATTCTTGCCTATGATTCAACCTTAAAGGAGATGGTTGCTGTGTTGCATGAAGTTGACTGACAAATGATTTCTTCATCATCTTAAAAAAGATGCCCCCGAGTCTTTTCACTGGACTCTTTTAGTTTTGGGACATAACAAGCCACAGAGTTCTAGAGCGGGGATGTTTTGTTTCAGTCTCAACCATGCCAACTTTCTTGGGTGATGGAACAGTCGCATGAGTAGACAATGGCCATTGTGGATAAGATCACAAGAAGAGTCTGCTGTCTGTTACTGCCCTCCAATCCCCACTCCCCGTTTCTCTTCAGATGCCCTTCTAGGCTAGAGACTGGAGGCCAGAGGGAAGTTCTGAATGGTGCATTTCTTTCTCCCATGTACCCTGATGTTATCGCTTTTTTTTTTTTTTTGAGACAGGGTCTCACTATGTAGCTCCTACCATCTTGGAACTCATTCTGTAGACCATCTACCTCTGCCTCCCAAGTGCTGGGATTAAAGGCATATACCACTAGATGACTGTTAATCATTCTTATTGGTGCTGATTTTGTTTTCCATCCAGTCTTCCCGAACTCTGGAACAAGGCCACATAAAATATCATTTTCACTATAGTTCTATTGATAAAGCTAGTAAAAACAGCTGTATCATGTACTTGGACCCCTACCAGCATAATTAGTAGGACAGGAGAACTGAGGGTAATTTCTTTTTTCTTAGCCACCTAGGTTCTGCAGAGAGCTGTGTAACATACAGTCAAGTGTGTTTACTGAGCTGTGTTCATACAGGCTGTGACCAAATGCCACATATCAGGACAGACAAATGACCACAGTGCCTAAAAATTAATCAGTGTATCCCCAGAATTCAGTGGGTATTACGCATTTAAAATGTTATCGTTTTATTTTTGTGTATGAGTGTGTACGTGTACTTGCATGCATGTATGTACGTGTGTGTGTGGTGTGTAAGCCAGACGATGACCTAAGATATTCACTTTTTTAAAGACAGGATTCCTCACCAGCCTGGAGCACACCAGTTAGGCTACGTTGGCTGTCTCTGCCTCCTCAGAGCTAGCATCAGTGGCACGCACCGTCACACCAGCTTTTCATACGAGTGCTGAGGACTGAAATGTCCTCATTCTTTCGCCACAGTCGCTTTACTTAGCCATCTCCCTAGTCCTGCATGTGAAATTTCAAGCATTACAAAGTACGAGCTTTCCAAGCGGATGGAACAACACTGCCAAGAGAGGAGTCTGCATTTTACTACTAACTAAGTCTCCCTGCACAGTACAGCTTCATGGGGGCTGGAGAGATGGGTCAGCAGCTTAGAGTGGTACTCACTGCTCTTCCAGAGGACCCGGGTTCAGGTCCTACATCAGTTGGCTCATGACTGCATCTCCAGGGCATCCTCTAGCCTGGGCAGACACCAGCACTCACACGTGCATATCCATACTCATACACGTAGTTAGAAAGTACAAAATAAATCTTTAAAAACAGGATAATTTGTGTATACGGTTATCCTAACTGGAATACTGTAATGATATCATTGGTGACTGACAGTATGACTTCATACAAGAAAACCACTTCTGAATTTTTCAACTATTTTTTTTACACATGGAATTACACACAACACAAAATACTTGTATTACAAATTGAAATCTTTACATTCGTGTATTCAGGACAGCAATGCAGGTAACACCAGCACTTCACTTAGTGACTCGCTTCATTGGACTGAACACAAAGCCAAGAAGGAATTATCTGCCTACATTACTTTCTTGTCTCTGAATTTAAAACAGAAAGAGAAATGACTCCTACCTTCTCTGTTATATGCCAGAATGATAAGCAATGTCAGTGATTAAGTAGTCTGGTCTTTCTATAAATGGGTTCTTGTATCCCAATAGCTCTTACGCTGTAAATCCTGAAGCTCTTACTATGTTTGTCTATCAAATTGTCATTATCTCAGCTTTCAGGAAAATTACGTCATCTTTGGTAATAGGCTGCCAACAAACAGAAACTATAGATTATACCATCCTCCCCAAAGAATCCTGTATCTTAATGAATAGCTGAATAAATAGGCATTAATTATGAAATTCACATTAAGATAGAAGAAAAACCAGCCATTCTGTTTGAACAGTTGCTACAAAATGTACTGTTTGTGTTAGGGTGAAAACAAACTGAATTAGGGGTGCTGCAACTGAGAAATCCTGCAGCTATGTACAGTAATCTGAAGGAGCCACAAAACCAATGTGTTTATATACACATTGCTTTTCCTCTCTTTCTGCATGGAAAAACATTGTTTTGTATAATGGGAAAACACTCAGTAGAACACCTACTACAGGGACTGATACAATATGCACAGCAGAATAATCAAATAAGACATGAGAACTATGGGCTTAATAAAGAATTTAGAGCTGGAAAACACACCAACAACAGGGAGGGCTGGAAACCTGGAATGCTTTCGTATGGAGGTTCAGAATATAAATTCATCTAACAAGCTTCTTGGTAGTTTCTAAAAGTTTCCACTCCATCACCTATGGTTTAAGTGTAGAGCTAAAAATAAACCATCATATTATACAAAACTTTGTATATTAGCATACAAAAGGTAACAATTTACTTTTTGTATAAAATATAACCTTTCGATAGTATATTTATTTCACATATGTATAAATATAATCCAAAGAATATGTTTTAAGTATTTCTACCAAAATATTCTTTACAAAAGTTTACAAAACAAGTAATTTATTAATATTTACAAATCAGCGCAGGAAAGTTTCTGGGCCAGCGATATTGGTGCGGTGGAGAAGAAGGAGAGAGCCCAAAGGTGTTGTAAAGACCAGAAGAGGGCTTTACAGAGCTTTAAAGACTTGTTCCTTTTCTGAACAGATCTGTGAAGGTTTGGTGCTTCCGTGACTTGAGTTCAATCACACCTGATAGTGAAGTATGTGAATGTGTAACTCAAAGGTTGAGAGTAGCCTTTGGTTCTCTGGATTTAGGAAAGTGGTAGTGGTGTTTTAGAACCAACTCAGACCTATACATCTCCACTCTGTTGTGTACTTAGACGTGAGCACTGAGGTTCAGTGGCCCAACACAAATCCACACTTTGCTGCACACTCAGCCCTGAGGGGAAACCTGGATAAGAAAGGCTCAGGCACCACAGGCCAAGGGTTTACTGTATGGTGAATAGTGGGAGTGGTGGCTACATGCAGACTAACTGGGCTCAGCTGTTCACCCACGTCCAAGTACTGTGTCCAAGGAAGTCCCTGTTGTCTCTCCGTTACCCTTCTCCTGTTTCTTATCTCCAGTCAAAACAGAATACTCTCTAATCTCACTCCAACCCAAGCTTTCATTTTCTACAAACAAGTCTCAAGGCTACGAAAAAATAGGAGGACAAGGCTCAATTGCATTCTGCTTGGGAACAAACCAGTGGCATCAGTCACAGCTGGAAACACCTTGGGTTACTTGTGGCCATGTTTGTCTTCTACATGGCAAAGTTCAGTTTTTTTTAAGTGAAATTTTATGCAAGCAGTTGTGCATTGATACCTTAGTATAATCATGACAAGTCTTGGTTATCTATAAAAAATTGGTAGGGAAGCCCCATTCAAGCTGTAAGCCCTGCATTCCTGTTTTATCACAAGACACAGCATCCCACCAAAATACAAAACACATGGGAAAATTACAAAAATGAGGAGTGCATCTAAGAAAGAAGTCATGTAATCTGACGGATGACTTCTAGGTTCTCTGGTTCTCTCTTATTTACTCCAAACAACCATATAGCATTTCAATCTTTCCTGCAAGTTTTAGGAAAAGTAAATGGAGAAATCAAAGCATACTTATCTACTAGAGCAGATGCCAGTCTCTGCCTGTCTATGATATGGGACCGAAAAAAGTCTCAAGTTCCGTTATATTTCCTTCTCCGAGAAAAGGAACTTGGGAAGACCATTTTTACATAACTAATTACACATCAACATCACAGTTGTGTTTGGATAAACCGGATAACATGTCCTGATGTTCAGGCAGGGAAAAGCGATCCTGACGTTTTAATATCAGGCTCGAGATTTTTAAAACAAGCACATGAACCAGAATGTTTATCACTGTGGTTATTGGCAGCTTTCTGTTTTGATGTCTCTAGTCCACCGGATGTCAGCAGTTTAGCATTCCAGGGTCCTTGGAAAATACTGCTCGAAGCCTGCAAAGCGCCTTCCTATTCTCCTTAGGAATTGCTTCCCAGGATTTCATCAAGGTTGATGTCTTTCATCCAATCGTCATTGCCAGGCTCTGTCTTCAATAAAGAATCAATGAAATCAGCATCACTGTTTAGGGCAGGGCCCATGCTGTCAGTCTGTTGGCTGAGGAAGTCAAAAGCTAAATCGCTGCCGTGGTCAGTTCCTTGAAAAGCCCTGGAACTTTGGTTGGATGAAGGAAAAGTGTTGGGCGTCAGGGATGGTGGCTGGTTGGTGCCTGTCCGCGGCTGATTCAATCCTGTTCCTGATGGATTCAAATTAGATAGACTCTGTGAGCTCAGCTGGTTAGGTCTGAGGTTCAAACCCCTGAGTGGACCTAGCGTTTGCCCATTTAATGTCTGATTCATTTGGCTCATAGGTCTCATTTGCACTGTTGGCGTTAACTGGTTAGGGGGCGCCACTGCCCTCTGGGAAAATGGCTGGCTCCCAACTCCTGGCTGTAATGACTGGTTTGGGGTATAGGCTGCAGGTGTACCTGTTGGGAAGCGCACACCTGTGGATTTGAGGGCTTCCTGTTGCTTCGCCGTTACGTCTTGAGAAGCCCAGTTTGTTGCTGTCGTGTTGGATGTGATCATGACAGTTGATGACCTCTGGGCTGGCATGCCTGCCAAACTGTGGGCCAAATTTGGTCTTAGTTGTTGTGAACTGCCAACAGACCCAGCTCCAAAGGTGGCCACGTTGTTGCCGTTATTTGCCCCCAAGGGAGATGGCCGTGGCATCAGAGGGTTGTTCTGATTTGTTATCAGCTGGGTTGTATTCCTCTGTTGGGTCAGCTGATTCATTGCTGAAGTGACATTGTAGGTGCCAGGCTGGTTACAAGACAGGTTCCCATACATCCCCATGTTCTGCACCGCTGTGGATAACAGTGGCATTCTCATCCCATGAGACGTAGACATGAGGCTAGAGTTCGGAGTTAAAATGGTGTGTGTTGAAACTGGATTTGTCAAAGCTTGGTTAGAGTTTAAATTCACGGTAGAGGAGCCACCTAGGACAGAGAAGAGAATCACATTTGTTCATGATAGTATGACATCTCCTGTCTCAGCTTGCAAGAACTTACCGTTAGACGAATAACATATGAGACACACTGCGTAAAAAGAACAGAAGAGATTTGGTAGAGAGCATCTCCCCAGGCCACTCCTCCTTGGTTAAGAGTTTGCACATTACAGAAAGAAGACTGAAATAGAACGGTTCTGCCACTAGACCGAGCAATTCCACTCTTAGGCATATATCCAAATGAGGCAAATTCATACAACAAGGGCATCTGCTCCACTATAGCAGCATTATTTGTAATAGCCAGAACCTGGAAGCAACCTAGATGCCCCTCAACTGAAGAGTGGATAGAGAAAATGTGGTACATTTACACAATGGAGTATTACTCAGCAGAAAAAACAATGGAATCTTGAAATTCGCAGGTAAATGGATATCACTGGAAGAAACCATCCTGAGTGAGGTAACCCAGTTGCAAAAAGACAAACATGGTATGTACTCACTAATATATGGATTTTAGACATGGATCAGGATAGTGCCTGTCTGCACTTCCACTGATAGAGAGTCTGGGAAACAGGAAAGAACCTAAAAGATATGCATATATGCATAGTACCCAAGAGAAGAGGATTGAGACAAGATCCTCTGAATGGATGGGGAACACGGCGGGGGGTTGGGGGAGTGGGAGCTGGGAAGAAGAGAGGGGGTGAAGAGGAAGAGAGTTGGTCATGGGGGAGCAGAAAGTTGAGTGGGTGGGGGTAGAATAGGGGGAAGAGGGAATCATAGGTTAGAAGACAGATCAGGCACCAGAGTGACCTCTAGTAATCTAAAGGGATAACACCAATTGGCAAGCTAAGCAATAGTGGAGAGACCACCTTGAATGCCCATTCCTGATAATGAACTTGATGTCTATAACCATCTGGGAGCCTTCATCCTGTGACTGATGGAAGCAGAGGCAAACACACAATCACTGATCTGAACCCAAGGAACCCAGTGACAGAGAGAGAGGAGTGATGAGCAAATTGGCAAAGATTGGGCTGGCAAAACCAGCAGAGACAGCTGATCTGAACAGGGGAGAGCTCTTGGACCCAAGACCGATAGTGGGGAGGCCAGCATGGGACTGATCTGGACCCCCCAAATGTGAGTGTCAGTGAGAAGGCCTGGGCAACCTATGGGGCCCTGAGCTGTGGATCAGTGTCTATCCCTGGAATACAAACAGTCATCGTGTGCCTATAGCACAAAGAGGGATGCTCTCTCAGCCTGGAGTCTTAGGGGAGTGCCTGGACCCTACCCAGAGTGAAATGACAGACTCTAGATATCTCCTATGTGGAAGGATTTGGCAATAGGGTGGGAGGCTGGGGGGGGGGAAGGGGAGTGTGGGAGGAGGGGAGGGAGAGGGAACTGGGATTGACATGTAAAACAAGCTATTTAAAATTAAAATAAAAAATGATAAAAAACATTAGTGTGGGGAGGGCGGGGGAGGAGAGGAGGGACAGGGAGCTGGGATTGGCAAGTGAAACAAGCTTGTTTCTAATTTAAATAAAAAAAGGAAAAACAAAGCAAAAAAAAAAAAAGAACGGTTCTGCTTTCTAGTTTTTATTTTATTTGTCTCCTGAAGTCATTGAGCTGATAACCTTTCATTTTGAATTACTTTTGTTGTGTTCCAAGTTCGAAAACTATAACTTTGATTAGCTAGCTGTCATGAAATCCAGGTTACTCTTCACCCCAGGGTCCAAAGGAGAAAGTGGGGGATAAATCCTATTCATGGCTACTACTCATAACCTGTGGCCTGGACAATTGTCTCCACTCTTCGTCTGCGTCATCCTCATTCAAGACGCTGCTGTGAGTGGCTTCCCTGCATCCGAAGGGCAAACTAAGCCTCGTCTCTTTAAGAATCTGGGATTTGAGGTACTCTGGCTCTGTATGGGAAGCCTGCTGGCGGGTGCACACTACTACTGCAGAGCTATTGAATACCAGCCACTGCTGCTCATCTGTCTTCTACTCCCACGATGCCCCTTAGCCCCTGAGCCTTATATTTCCTTCAGGGTTCATGGCAAGCCTGAAGCTCTCCTTTGAAGCTTTTCCTAATATCCTAGTCTCATTTCTTTCGAGGCCGTTCTTCTGTTTAATTCTTCCACTGAGCACCATGGCAGTCCACCAAGCCTCGAAAGAGCTGCCAGTTAAACTGATGCCTGTCAACAATTGATTGAATGGGGGGCAATAACTGGACCCCAGCCTGCTGAATAAGATGGTTCCACACAATGGACAGTGACTAATAGAGGCTAAAATATCCCTGGCTCAGGGAGGCTGAAGGCACCCTGAGGAATCAGCTCGAGAGGCAAAAACGGAGGCAAGGGGTGCCTTAAACGACAAATTCCACCAGGGCAGGCATTGTCCCTTGTTCTGCTTACAGTTGTATTCCAGCTCCAGCAGCTGACAGAGTTTGCGTTCAACTGAATTTTGAATGATTTCGTGAAGGAGATTGAAGGAAAGACAAAACCCCAGAGAAAGACACTCTCAAGAAGAGATTGATACACACACACACACACACACACACACACAGAGTATGAAATAAGAGGTTTGTGAAGACCATGCCCACAAGTGACTGCTTAGGATATCCTCTGCTGGTATGACGTGTAACGAAAAAGACAAGGCCAAGCCAACACCATAGCTTTTCTCTTTACTACAAAATTTGTCCTCAACTAGACCCCATGCTCCTCCAAGGTGGGAGGAGTCTCTTGTACCTCCTTACACAGGTGATGTGTAGGGTCATAAGTAGTTTCAGAGCTAGAGATGTAGCTCACTGGGAAAATGCTTGCCCAACACAAGCAAGACCCTGGGCTCAGTCCCCCGCCCCCCAAAAAGAATTATTTCTGGACTGATGTTAAAATTTAGAGCAACACGAAAGAGTTTGCTTTGGTTTGCTGTTGGTTGTTTTATTCTTGGGCAGGTGTCCTTGTCCCGTCCCTGTCTTCCTCTGACTCAGAGCAATGTGTTCATGTGACAAAGCACAAATCCTGGGTTCTCTTGCTGATGGAAAACCCACAGGAACACATTGTGGCTAGAGGTAAGGATGCGTGGGCGGGAGTCCCAGAAGACCACTTTACGAGGGTGTGGCTCCTCCAGAACGCTTCTCACATTTCCCCCTTTCCTCTCCCTGCCTGCAATTTGGACATGGAAGCTCCCGACATGTTGGCTGCAGGGAAGCCCTTGGGATGGGAGCCACATGTTAAGGGCGCAAAAGGAAGCCTGGACTCTGGTGACACCGTGCAGACAGCACATCTGCTCTGGACTCCCATCCTGGAGAGTTTTCTACAAGAATGGGAAAAGAACCTTAAGAACCTACCTGAAAACTCGTATACTACTGCAAAGGTTCACAGGTTCTCCAAAGTCCGTTGGTTGCCCATGGCACCGGGCCATGCTCCTCATCAGAGCTCCACTGTCTTTTGTGGACAACCAAACTGAACTGGGAACTCAGCTTTTGCACTTAAATAAAATCATCTCGAGCAACAGAATACCTATTCCCATTTTTTTCCAGTGGGGAAAGACAACCTGTTGCATCTTCAGGCATTTGAAAGAATTACCACAACTTATTAAAGTATTTGCAACAGGACAGGCGATAGTAATAGGAGTGTCCACAGATCTTGATTTTTAGAGAATATTCTGGATGACTTCTTGGTCAGATGGAGACATGTAAAGAAAAGGTAGTTGAGAAACTGAAGATACTAGCTTAATGTGACAAGAAAAATCAGAGTTCTTGAGAGAAGTGACTGGAGAAGTTTCTGGAAACCAGGGAGCAGGAACAGCATGGGCTGGGTTTGAGGAAGATTCTTTGGGGTTTAGAGAACCCTAGAGAAAGAAAGATTTTTCCACAAGTACCTGCCCTATTTCATGAGAAAGAGAGTGAGGAAAAAGCTGTTTTGTGAGTTAAATAGAAAATAAATATAAATCCTTTCTTTTGTTGAGGAAGGCTTTATAAAAATATGATTTTCTTTTTAATTTTTCCCTTTCAACAAGGTGATTTGTCTTTCAAGGAGGATATTTGGGGAGATGGGCTCATAGGAAGAATGAGGAAGGATGAGGCTGTATGCAAGCTGCCAGGTGATGTTCTGAAAGGAGCTATTTCTGCACAACCTTCCACTGGCTGGACCAAGGTCAGCATGAGGAGGGGGAGTGAACAGGACAGTCAGGAGACCTGCAGGGTTTTAAAATTCTCACACGTAATTGGTAGAGTAGTTAGCATGTGAGCACAGAGCGTGGGGGAGAGGTGAGCATGTGAGCATAGAGTGTGAGGAGAGGTGAGCATGTGAGGAGAGGTGAGCATGTGAGGAGAGGTGAGCATGTGAGCATAGAGTGTGAGGAGAGGTGAGCATGTGAGCATAGAGTGTGGGGAGAGGTGACCATGTGAGCATAGAGTGTGAGGAGAGGTGAGCATGTGAGCACAGAGTGTGAGGAGAGGTGAGCATGTGAGGAGAGGTGAGCATGTGAGGAGAGGTGAGCATGTGAGGAGAGGTGAGCATGTGAGGAGAGGTGAGCATGTGAGGAGAGGTGAGCATGTGAGCATAGATTGTGAGGAGAGGTGAGCATGTGAGCATAGACTGTGGACAAGCAAGGACACATGAAAGGACAAGCGAGGTCTTTCTGAGGGTGAAGGGATAAAGACAGACTCTCACACTATAATCTGGGCTAGCCTGGAATTTACTGTGTAGCTCAGGCTGGAATTGAACGCACAGTGCTCCTCCTGCCTCAGGAGTGCTGGGATTATAGTGTGAGCCATAATGTGGTTTGGATCTGACGGTTAAGTCGGGGTTAGCGATAGCTTTGGGACGATGTGCTATCCAAGATGGGGAGAGAGAGCAGTAGACACGGAATAGAGTCTCGTTTTCACAGTTGTGGTTTGTATTAGTTTTGGAGAACTCTTACCAGAGTACTGAGCAGCTGGCTGCAGGCTGCCCGAATTTCTTCTTTGGTCTTTGTAGTCCGGGGGTGGCCTTGTCAGATGGCGGTTCATCTGATCCTGGGGGGAGCTTTTCTCCTTGAAAACACAAACGGAAGCACTGAGTGGGGTGAACACTTCTTCACTTACTAAAATCTGTATGCTGCTCAAAAAGGTCACATACAGGAAGTAGAGGCCGGAATATCGCAAGTTTGAAGCCAGCATGGGCTATACAATGGGAGCTTGCATCAAGCAAACTGGGTTATTTTACACCGTGGGCATGTGATTCATTTGGCAGTGTGGGTTCAGAGACAGATCTTTCCCTTTGAGTCACTTCCTACACGGAAGCGTCATTTCTGCCCCTCTATGGATTTCAGCGCCTGCTTTGTCTCTACGGTGCACGCTCATCTCCTTCATGCCGTGATTAGCTTTCAAGTGTGACTGAATGTGTGTGGGTTTGGTGATAGCACTTCTTGTTTTGCGCCTTAGCATGTCTGATGAGCTTCGGCGTCCGTGTGTAACTCTGGTGTCAAAGACTTTGGAAAATAGTTTGCCAGATAAAACGGAGAACACCTGGGATCTCCGTAATTTGGTTTGGCAATTCTTCTGCCTCTCCGTGGATGAGACACCAAGAGATTTGCTAACCTTCCAGGTACTGGGGCAGGCACCATGTGCACAGGACATCTCTTCTACCCACTCTTAACAAATCTTTGAAGGTAACCGTGGTTGTTCTCATTTAAAAGAGGCCATGCAAATTTCATTAGGCTAAGTAGCTTGCCCTGAGTCATGCAGTAATGCAACAGATACCAATTCCAGACTCAGGAACTCGGGGTCCTTCATGCCACTCAGTACAAAGACCTCAGCGTCCTGCTTGACAAGCACAGAATGTTCCGCGGCTGGCTGCCTTTATATTCTCTTGGTAGATGAGTTTGGGTGGTAAGAGAAGAAATAGGGACCTCCATTTACTATGCCAATGCCTTGGCGGAGCTTCAGGAACATCTCCGCTGCTGTCATTGCTCATAGCAGCAAAGAGCCGCGAGGAGCACAACTGTCTCGGGAGGGCTGTGAGAGGGCCTGGGTGAGCTAGGGAAGGAGAGCGTTGTCCTAGGCTGATGAAAGAGTAGCTTTTACACACTAGCTGGAGAGGGTGACATTTAGCATTGGGGATCACATAGTGACCTTGTTTGTTTTTAGATAAAATTACAAAGCGGCCTATTTGGTATTAGTTTATCATGACACCAGAATAACCCTGTCTGAGGCTGGCATGTGTTAAGGCTTTATGTTATACAGGGAGCAAGATGCATGACTATGCCCCTCCTACCAGCTTGGGATGGGGATTCCTACTTTCTTTCTTGTTGTGCTTTGGAAACTTTCTGGAATGGCTTCAATGTAATTCTGTATACACTATAAGGCAATATCCATTCCTAAAGATAAGAATAATTGGCATAGGTAGAGGCGAAGACTGTAATTATAGGAAAGTCAATACATAGGCAACTACAGCAGACAGATGAGGCCATTAGTTGGAGCCAAGTGTGTGTTTGCACCGCTCAAACTCACGGCTTCTGCTCAGCTCTGAAATTTCTTAGTGGGATGTGTGTTCTCTAAAAGGGGCAGGAGGAGGGCCTTAAAATAACAACAAACCAAATTTAGTTCTTGTTTCTAAGAAGAAACAAACTTGAAAGACTCATAGAGTGTTTTTGAACACCAAGTAATTCATATAAAACATAATTTTGATGAGCTAAGCGTAAATGAATCAGAAACATATGGATTACATTTCTTCTTTTAAACATGGGTTTACAAATTAAGGGAAAAACTGGTCAGTGAAACTCTTCTTTTGGTGGGGGGATTGCTCAAACAGTTTAAGAAAGAGCCTGGGGACTTCACCAACCCAATGTGGTTGTGAGCAAGCAACCCTGTTGTAAATACTTGTGTAAACTGACAGTTTTGATTTTTAAGCCAAGAATGGGACTTTGTGAAATCTTTTTTCCAAGAAGCATTTTTTCATTTATAATTAGGTGTTACTACTGTTTGTATGATGACGATTCGTGCACATGTGTGTGTATGTGTGTGTGTATGTGTGACAATTAGTTCCTTTTATTCCCACACACTATTACTTCAAATCCAGATTCACTTAATGTATCTTGAGCAGTTGACCTTTTCTCTCTCCAACAGATCACTTGATTTGCTAAAAGCCTTAACATACACATCTCTGAAAACCCAAGTTTCTTAATAGTCTATGTCCCCAAGTAAATCAGATTAGAGGGCTTTTCCTGTAGATGTAGCATAGACTTGTCATGCTACCAGACAGTGAAGTCCCTATAGGAAGCCTTACCCTCTCTGTGGAGCAGATGGGAGGAGGGTGGGATGGAGGGAGTGGAAGAAATGAGGGATGGGGAACTGGGATTGGAATGTAAAAATAAATTAATAATAATAATAATTAATTAATTAATATATTGTGTATACACTGACTGGAGGAAGCTACAATAAGGCCCCCGTGTAAACTCACACTGTATCACTGAAATCACCTCTGTGTAAAATGAAATGAGTTTTCATCGTGGCCCAATCTCTCTTGCTTCAGTGCTATCTGTCTTGCTTTGGTTTCCTTAGCCATAAAACACGTAAGATTTGGGAGGTTCTAGGATCTCTTTCATACTCCTCCTGTAAGGATGAACGCTTTTGTTCTGGAAAACTTCAGCATGGCGCCAGGCACACAGGAGGTGTCTAGTTCATGCTAGCAGCGATGATCAGTGTAGGGACCGTTACTCATTCCACTCTTTTGTGTGTTTCACTGGTGGAAGAATGGTCGAGAGTAAGGCTAACAAACTTTTAAGAAAAAAACAAAACACCTCCATTTAGGTGCCCATCTGGTCTTGCGAAGGCCTTGAATTACTAAAAAGCGAATGCTAATGCAAAGGGGCATCAAAGGCTTCTTCTTCCTGGAAACGCTAAAGAGCACAGGCACCCTCAATGGCATCCAGACAAAGAGGAGTGTGGATGCTTGGTAACAACCACAGAGAGCAGCTTCTTTCTTATTCACCTCACTACTGCCCATTGCACCTGTGAGACGCCATAGGGGCTCACTGGGAGCCAGGCCAGCACCATCACCAGGCCCCCAAGAATGTGTGTGTCACTTTTTGACAGGGGTTTTAATGGAAGCAGAAAACCCGGAAACTCCATCTTGTAAAGCTAATCAAATTTGCAGTGTCAATGGGGATAATAAGAGCCTCGCCAGGAAGTCCGTTTGAAATGGCACATTCTCTTCTCTTCCCCCTTGTTTCTAGGCTATTCCGGTTATAAAGATAAAAAGACAAGGAGGAGGAAGGAACAGGTGTGACCACAGATTTCAGACACCTGGAGCAAAAGCACTCACTTAAACTTGTCGTTCCTTTAAAGACATGTGTGACTGCTACATTGTTACTAGTTTTACCTAAAACTAACCAGTAAATACAGGGCTGCCTCTTTTGGTCTTTGGTCTGCTTCTGCCTAACATTGTGGATGCTACCCTTTCTATCAGAATACTGTGGTCTTTCCATGTTAAAGCCAAGTTTTAGCCCATTTTGAGAGATGATTTGTCAGATTTCCAAACTGGCGCTGGGCATTCTCTCCTATTGGGTTACCTTTAGTTGGATGTAAATCTGAACACAGTGATCCTTCTTAAAATCAATGGCATTTAAGGCAGTATGACTTAGCAAGACTCTTCCTCCGGCCTGTGTCCTTCATATTTCTATCCTTGACCACACTCTGTGCGTTGACACTTTGTGCCCTTTGTGTACCTGAGTCTTGAGCGTGTTGGATCTCCGGGCCAGCATGACCCCCCCCCCCATTTTTCCTCCCTACTCCCACTGCACCTTCTGATCTTTAGTAGATGCAATCTTTTCTCTGAAGCCATTTCTAGCAATTCCTACAGCATAGTGTTTAAGCATACGCATTACAATTGCCTATTTATTTGATGTTCACAGTGGATTCTGGGCTCCATTAGGTTAACAAGAGGGAAAGGGACTGTCTTGTTTGTGGCCTGTATCTTCATCATCTTTCAGTATTCACTGAATATTCATGGTGTTTATAGCACGTCATTTCTGGCTGTTTCTATAAAGTTTCTTGAGCATAAAATGATTTAGTGGACTTTTCTCATCTTACGGTGGTAGGGATCAAACCCAGGACCTAAGGCACGCTAGGCAAACACTCTACTGCTGAGCTGCGTCTCCTAATCTCGTTTCCCCCTTTCCTGTTTGGCTTTGTCCCTTTTGATTGCACTGGACAGAGGAGATTGTAGGGAGAGCTAGAGCTGTCTAAGTTAAGTGCAGTTTGGTCAGATGTGTCTGATGAAGTCTGGGGACACAGAGGAATGAGTAGCTACATACTGAAGCTAGCTTGGGTTGAGGGAAAACAACCTTGTGGTTCTTAAAAGGTCAGGCCAATATGGCGAACATGGGAATTTATTTAAAATGTATTTTTTGAAACAGTCCCCCATTCTTGAGATGCTTTTTTTTTTGGTGGTGGTGGGGGAAGCTAAATGTTGGTGGTGTAACTTTTAAAATTCCCTTTAAAAGTAACTCATTTACCTCTAAAAATCAGTTTGGAGTAGGGATGATTAAAGTGCAGTTCACTACCTCTGCCCCTTGAGGCTGGGAACAACTGAGATTTCATTTGCTCCATTCAAATGCCCGGCTGGCCACAGACATTCCTGAACTGGGCAGGGCTAGTCACGAGGGGCTGTGGACTCCATATGCCTAGCAGCTGGTAAATCGGTTTTTTGTTGTTGTTGCTACTGTTTCTGTTTGTTTGTTTTCTCCCCTGCATTTTAGATGCATGGTGTTTACTTTCTCTCGCATCCACTATACTCTCATTGCTGTCCCAGAAGGGCAAAGGGACTCTATAGCTCCAAGCCCACACCAGAGAAGTTAGGAGATAACTTTACCGAGTCAGCCAGCATCTGCTGCTGGAGGAGAAGCTGCTGCTTTGGCTCCATGGCTGGCCTCTGCAAGGTCTGTTTCTTCCCCATCATTTGCTGACTCAACAGAGACTGCTGGGAGTTCATGTAACCACTTGCAGTGTTTGGGTTTGAGCAGGAGTTGGGACTTGGACTGGGGCCTGTGTTCTGGCCTACCACAGTGTGTTGATCCTGCAGAAGAGAAAGGAGAAAGGGGAGCTACTGTGAATCAAATAAGACACAGGAAGCACAGAGATGTTAAGCCTCGACGCCAAACATTTTCATCTTGTTGGAGATCAAATTTGGCTAATGGGTTGGACATGTGGAGATTGCTTTAGAAATGTAGAAGAAATCGTGGCATAACATAGCAAACAGAGCAGGTAGGCGAACGGTAGGCATTGGATAAGCTCCCACCTGACTCTCAGAGTCGAGTCTCCTCATTCCAGGAGGCGTTTATGGAACCTCAAAGAAGACTGCTGTGAAAATATACAGTAATGCACTCAGCTTCTCAGAAGCAAAGGCACCACGGAGTGACAGCCATTTCTAAAGTCAACGTGCATTTATTATATCTGATCCTACAATAAAAGCGTCCTTTCCAAACACGTGTTTAAAGGCTGAATAGTCACTCTGGACGGGAGGCATGTGTGGTTTGCTCAGACTCACGACTCTCACAGCAGTTTATGCTAAGGGGTGGGGACATACCCCATTCACTGGCGATGGTGAGGAAAATCACGTCACATACCATGTGATACTGGGTGCTGGTGAATTACCATTCTGGTGTGAGGACTCTACCAGGTTTTAGACACTGATATAGCAGAACCCTGCAGGCAAAGGAATCAAACCCATGAAGTACCATTATTCCCTGGTGAGGTGTACAGAGCTCTGTACCAGTAGGGCTCCAAGAAGACTAGAAAACGTGATCTCCTTGGAGACTCGCATATGTAACCAGGGGCTGGAAAATGCTCATGTGTACAAAGGTTAGCAAGTATAAGATCAGCCTGGGCACAGGGACATATTCTTGTAACCCCAGCTCTTAGTAGGTGGAGGGAGGAGGACCACTGATTCAAGGTCATGCTCTATTATATAACCGGTTTGAGTCCAGCCTGGGATACAGGAGATGACGTCTCAAAGAAGAAAATGCAAAACACAAGAAGCAAACACATCATGAAATAAAAATTTAGATTACATCATAGCAGCACAATGTCAAAAGCCCTCATCCACTGGTTACAGGGACCCGAGAGGTGTGCCCCTCACTCACGTGCCAGCTCATGTTCACAGTACCTGTGGGAAACAGGAGACACGCAGAGGCCAGACAGCCCAGCTCTTACTCCCCAGCCGGACAGCATGTGCTCACGGCAAGCAGATCAAAATGAAGCATGCATACTAGGAGTGGCACACCATTCTTGGGAATTAGCTTCTCCGCTATCCCATCTTTTAAAAAATATTTAGCCACTAAGCTCTTTTAAAGGAGTAGAAAGCTGTCTGTCTGAAACCCAGGGCAATAGGAGACTTGATCCTAGTAGCTGCCTCAACAGCAAAGGGGTCTGACATAATCATGAGGACAGCCACGTGCCCAAATGTGGTGCCTGGGACAGTTGCAGCACTCGGGGCTTTCCAGTGTGCATCCATGTGGTCCTTGGAAGTCATTTCCTCCCCTGTGTCTTACATGCCACTAGGAATGTAGCCCTGAGGACAAGTTCTTGAGAGTTCCTGGTAGAACGGCAAAGAGGAAGATCTGTGGGTTGAGTGTCTTGGGAGGAAAGCAGGGGAGGAAATACTTGGGGGGTTGGGGGCTGAAGCCTTGGGGCTCCTCAGATACCAAGGGAAGCAGAGTGTGTGGGCAGAAAGAGACAGGGCTGAGGAGTGTAAGAGCCATTGGAAATGACAGTGGAAGGAATCAGCCAGAGAGAATGTGCTGGAAGCAGTCATTGGGCCTCTGCTCTATTTCAATCTGAACAATCTTTTCTAAGATATAACCTGAAGTTCTGTGTGAGGCTTTGAGAAAACAAATATTTCATGTTTAAAGGAAATGATTGGCAAACAGGTAGAATAAAATCTAAAGGACTCGCCGGGCATTGGTGGCACACGCCTTTAATCCCAGCACTCGAGAGGCAGAGGCAGGCTGATCTCTGTGAGTTCGAGACCAGCCTGGACTACCAAGTGAGTTCCAGGACAGCCTCCAAAGCCACAGAGAAACCCTGTCTCGAAAAAACAACAACAAAAAAATCTAAAGGACTCTTTTGATCTCTTTGAATGGCTGTATAGTGGACAAAGCAGCTCCAGGAAGCTGCCCACTCCCGTCCATACCCTGGTTCTGACGTTTATTAGGCATGAGGTCCGGCAGAAGTGAACTAGCTTTCCTTATCTGTAAGATGGGAACAGGGACAACGATGATGGCAGTGAGGTACTGACATCACACACTCCCTGTGAGAACAAATGGCTGGCTCCCAGGAAGTCCTACCACGATGGCCACTCAGAGCTACTAATGATATTTCAAGAGTGCCTTTTTATTTTTATCTTTTTGCTTTTGAAGCAAATAAGTCAGGCCTCGCATGTCACTGAACACTGTTCTATGACGACTTTATCGGAGATGCAGAGTTCAGTTGAAACGGGAAGGGGACACATATAGGTGCCCCCTCAGCTTGCATATGAGTTTATGATGCTCACTCGTAGGCTGTCCATGCTCGAGTGCATGGTCCCTCATCCTTGAACAATGGGCAGCACTAACTGGACTCAGAGGGTTATTAAAAACACAAAAAAAGGAGAACATGAAGTTGGGAGGGAGTGGGACTAGGGGCACTAAGGGAAGTTGGAAGGAAGCAATGGTGGATAGATAGGATCAAACTACATTGCATTAATGTACGAAACTTTCAAAGAATAAATAAAATATGATTAAAAACTAAAAGAAAAGAGATGGACAGCATGTTTGGTGTTGGCAGAACTGGTGAGCTTCAACATAATTTCCAGAGAAATCTGGAACAACACCCATCTCTGAGATTTCTAAAGGATGTGCATGCCAAGAAAATGCAGCCCTTTTTCTCTCTAATCAAACAGATGGACGGTTCTAAATTTAGATTCATTCCTAGACAATACCAAAAATACTCTAGGACCCTTTCCCCCGGAGTCTCAAGTGTTGTCCAAATTTGAAACTAGTGCTGGAGTGGAGCGATGTGCCCTGGTGTGGAGGAAGGAGAGAGATGAGTTAAGAGGGAGATGAGTTCTTTGGGCATTAGGTAGATTTTTTAACCTTTGAATTTGTAGCTCTTAGACCTTACCACAGTACTCTTTATACTCTTTTCAGTTTGTGATTGAAGTCACATTTAGCTGCTGTCACATTTTCTGCCCTTATGCTAGCTATGAAACACAAGACACCTCCTTCACAGACATGCCTTCATTGCCAAGATGTTGTGCAAACTTCAGCACATAAAATATTTTGAAAGAAAAATATGTTCCAGTGCATTGGCTCTGACTCCACACCCAGCCTTGCTGCTTCTGCAGCTTCAGTCACGGAGAACTCAACACCGAAGAAGTCACCTGGTTCTCCCCACCCAAGACAGCCTTCCCTCTGAAGGACAAATGAAAGTCATGGGAAAGTTGGCACACACTCAGCCTCCATGACACTCTGTGTCATGAATGTGCTGTGGGACTGTGAATGACTCAAGCCATTTCCATTGATGTGGTGTCTTCTATGGTAGAAAACCCAAGATTCTAGAGAAATTGGAATCAAAGATTGATTTGGTAACAAGTAACAAACATACAACTGATTAACATAATTAACTCAAACTATCTTTCATTTATGTTTTTTCTTTTAAATCTGTTTTTAGCTCTAATGCCCTAATGTTTGGTGCTAACCTACCCTGTCTTCATTTCCAGTTAGTATGTAGTCATAGGTTTTCATACCCATGGTGTATATGTGTACTCCCACATCCAACTTTAGAATACATACAATTTTCTACTTTAATTTTTAAAAATAGTTTATTTAAATTCATTTTATGTGCATTGGTGTGAAGATGTCAGATCCCCCTGGAACTGGAGTTACAGACAGCTGTGAGCTGTCATATGGGTACTTGGAATTGAACCTAGGTCTTCTGAAAGAGCTACCTGTGTTCTTAACCACTGAGCCATCTCTCCAGCCCCTACTTTATTTGAGATTAGAATTTAAGTTCTCCTATATAACCCTCCCCACTCCAAATTCATGACCCTTTTTTTCAGCAATTGTTATTGCATGATTATATGTATTTATATATGCATATGTGCTCCTGGATATACCCTGGTGGGTCTATGTAATTTTACTTGTGTGTATATTTTCACGAATGACCATTTGGTACTGGACTGCTAATCGGTGTGCTCTTCCCTGGGGACGACTACCTCTTCCACCACCAACTTTCCTCGGTTGCCTGTAATTCTTTGTGTAGGGTTGAGGCCTCAAGTTAGAATACATATTTAACGAGCCAGGTTGTATGAAAAAAATCTTAGGCTCAAACAGTAGAGGCAAAGCTTGCCAAATGGATCATAATTTAATGAAGAATCTCAGTAAATTGTGGCCAACACATGAGTAATCTTCCAAAAAGATGCCACAAACAGAAATGATGTGGTTAATCATTTGTTTCAATGTGAAACAAGGTTTATGTGTGTCAGGGAGGACTGACTTCATCAAGGTAGGAAGTGGTCGTATTAGACATGCCAGAGACAGAAAACGAAGGAATCCACCAATCCCTTGAGAGACAGTTGGGATGGGAGGGCTCATCAAATTAAAACAGTTTTGTGAGCTGTAAACACAGACAGAGGACTCAAGGTTTGAAAAAAAGTGTTGTTCTCTTGTTATTTAAAAAATAGCTAAAGAATATTTGTTATTCTACACATCTGATTAAAATGGCTCTCTGTGTCTCTAATTTACAAGGAGGATATTTAATGATTTCCCCCTATGAACACAAAGTCCTGTGAGTTACTAGAGACCCCTGGGAGCATTCTGGATGGGATGACTACCCTTTCTTTTTCTTGGCTTCCAGAGCTGGGCATCTGCAATTTGCAAAACAAATTCAAGATAAAGTGCCCAGCTGGGCAGGACTGTACAGCAGAGCTCACAAACTGGTTTGTTACTCAGTCAATCTTTCTTCTCTCCTTCCTTCTTGCTTTCCCTGTCTCAATGAACTAAGTGCTCAACTGTTCCCTTAGGTATTCGTCTTCAGCCC